TTGTCCAAAAAAAGGTGATCCAACACAATGTGGAAATTATCAAACAATATCATTAATATCCCACACAAGCAAAATTTTGCTGAAGATCATCTCCAAACAAATGGAACATTACATTGACAAGAAATTGCCAGAAGTTCAAGCTGGACTTAGAAGAGACCATGGCACCAGGGATATCATTGCTAACATCAGATGAATTTGTGTGGAAAGCAGAGAACACCAAAAGAATGACTCTGTTTTTTATTGACTATATAGAGATATTTGACTGTGGATCACAACAAACTGTGCCTAAAATTGAGAAGAATGAGACTCTCAGAGCACTTAATTGCGCTTATATGAAATCCATTCCTAGACCAAGAATTTGTTGTTCAAATGAAACGAGGGAACACTGCATCATTTTAAATCAGTAAGGGTGTGCATCAGGGTTGTATTCTCTCTCCATACCTAATTAAGGTGTATACTGAGCAAATAATTCATGATGCTGGATTCTATAAAGAGGTATGTGGCTTTGGGATCAGAGGAAGATTCATCAGGAATCTGTGTAATACAGATGACACACCTTGCTTGCTGAAATTGAAGAAATCTAAAGTGCTTGCTTCAGACGATCAAAGGCACAGCCTTCAATGTGGATCACATCTCAACATCAAGAAAACTGAGATCCTTATGAAAGGAGCCCTGGAAAAAGAGAGGCTCTGCAAGAACATTTGAACTCCTAAGAAGGGAGAAGAGAGTCTCTGCAGGTGCTTCCTTATCTGAAAAGCCAGAAAAGCTGTGATTCTGTGAGAATATTTCTTTTTATACTGTTTTAGAGAAGCTGTGGCCTTCTAAGAGTTTTCCTTTATCTGGAAAGTCAGAACACGTCCAAACTCACCACCATCTACCCTGCTAAAACTGTAAACTAATGCTGAGGCTTTAAGACCACCAATGAGAGGATAGCATAACTACTTCTTTGTCTGTTTCCCATCCCAGAACAAAGCAGTTTGGAGATCCCAGCCATTTTGAACTTGAGTCTTGCTAAAGTTCTACTAGCATGATAAAGTCTTCCATCTTACTAAAGAAACATTCATGGTGATTGACCCTTAAAGTATCTCCCCTGAGTCTCATCTTCCTGCAACACTTACAACTGGGGTATAGCTGACATTATGATAGATGGAGAAAGGATTGAAACTGTCAACAATTTAGTCTTGCTTGGATTTACAACCAACACCTTTTGGTACCAGTAGCAGTCAGGAGATTAGATGTTTTGTACTGAGCAAATCTGGTGTCAGGGATCTCTCCCAAATACTAAAGAGCAATGATGCCAGTTTGAAAATTAAGGTGTGCCTCATTCAGATCATGGTCTGCATCTAAGAGCTGAAGGACAACAAAAGATGATGCTTTTGAACTGTGATGTTAAAGAAGAGTACCGAGTATTCCATGAACTACCTAAGGAGAGAACAGGTGTGTCTTGGAGAAGATGCAGGCACAGTGCCCTTTGGAGACAAGGATGTCAAAGCTTTGTCTCTCATACTTTGGACAAGTTGGTAGGAGATGCTGTTCCTTGGAAAGTGATATCATGCTTGGAAAAGTCAGTGAAAGAGAGGAAGACATCCATTGATATGGATTGACACAGTAACTGCAGCAATGGGCTCAAGTGTGTCAAAGATGATGAGGATAGGTAACATGGGATAGGACAGAATTCAGGTCTGTTGTTCACAAGGTTGCTATAGTTATACTTGACTTGATGGCTCCTAAAAACAACAACCACCACTAAAATCTGATATTTGCCTGAATTTCTAGATACCTGGCTTATTGTAGGCCAAGTTGAATTGAACTGTCACCTGAGCAAAATTGTCCATTCTTTCTTACCACATTTCTCCCCTCCCTAATTTTTTTCCTTCAAAGATTTCTTATTTGCTTTATGGTTTAAGAATAACGTAGTCTCTAAACTTTCTTGAACCACTGTATTGAGCATTAGTTATCCTTGGAGAGCATGACATGCAATCAGCCTTTTAAAGTACCTTGAATTAAGCGCTACACAAAGAACAGCTTGCCTTTAATAGAGCTCCTTACCTGATCTCAATAGGGCCCAGTTTCAGATATTAAAAAGAAGAAAATTACATCTAATTGCTGTCCATGGACATGCTGACATCTCACTGATAGCTGGCAGCTGGTATTGTACAATATGCAAAGATCTTAAATTCTCCAGGTGAAAATATCCTTTTCTCATTTTGGCCACATTTGACGGAATCCTAAATAATTCCCAGTCCCATCTCCAGGAAGCCAGGTCTTCTTTTCGCTTGGTTTAGTTTAACAAACATTTGCTGTATTCAGGCTCTATATTTCCATAACTAGAAACTTTTGGAAGGTATATTGGCATGAACACAGCTCTTTTTGCTCAGAATAGCATGTTTTAGATCTCAACTCATTGCCATCAAGGTAATACTAACTCATGGAAGCCTGACTCAAATGACCCTCATTACAATACCTTGTGCTCATACGAAACCATTATTTGGACAGGAAGTAGTCATCAGAACAGAGCAAGCAAACAAACACTTCATGGTTCGAAATCAAGAAAGTTATATGCCTATTTCCATATCTTTTCAATCTGTTCTTTCAGAACAGATAATTCAGGAGGCTGGACTCTTTGAGGAGAAATGTGGCATCAGAATGGAGGAAAATGCATCAACAATCTGCATTATGCAGATGACACAACCTTGCTTGCTGGAACAGAGGACCTGAGGTGTTTGTGGCAGAAAGTCAAGAACTTCAGTCTTCAATAAAGATTGAAGTTCAACATCAAGAAAACAAAGATTTTCACCACTGGACCAACTGACAGCATCATGATAGATGGAGAAGAGATTGAGATTATTAACAGTTTTAGATTGCATGGTTCCACAATCATCAATCTTGGCCCCCAGCTGTTAGGAAATCAAAAGACGAAATGCTTTGGGGAAAGTCCACTGCCTCTCTAGAGTATGGAAGAGCAACTATTTAAGTCTAGAGAGTTAAAGTGTGCCTGGTCCATGTCATGGTCTTTGCAATTACTATTCTTCAGAGTGCTGGAAAATGTTTTTTCCATGACAGAAGAAGGATCAATGCCTTTGAGTTGTCATGCTGGAGAAGATTATTGAGCATACCATGGACAAAAAGAACAAATAGATCTGGCCTGGAGAGGGTGAAACCAAGCTGCTCCTTGGAGGCTAGGATTTTGAAGCTCCGTCTCACATACTTTGGGTATGTTGCCAGGAGGGACCAGTCCTTGGAGAAGGACATCATATTTGGAAAGGTCACCCTAGATGAGACGAGGTAATGTGGTTAGTTGTGTCAGAGACAATGAAACTGGCTCAAGATAAGGCAAAGCTCAGAGCTATTGTACTTAGGTTCACAGGCAACACAATGGCACATAATAACAACAAACAAACCCTTATTGTATGTTGCTAGTCACTTCATCTATCTCCTCTGTTTATGGGTGCTTTTTTTGTTCTCTTTTTTTTTTGTCCCACTTCCCTAGTTAATCAGGAGTATCTGTCCTGTTTCAGATTGTGGATTGCAGTACACGTTAACATCTGATTGTCTACTTACTTCAGATGGACCTTTCTTTCTCCTATTCCAATACATGAATTATCTATCCAGCAATTATTCTTCCCTATCCCCCTCCAGTAACTATTCTTGACACTACATAAAGTTCTCTATTCTTCTGGAGTTTTCAGAAAGTAATAAGAGCCACTAAAAACTAGGGCTTTTATTCTTTCCAAGTTTTTTTATTATTATTTGAGTGAAAGTTACAAAACTCATTTTTTAAGATATTCATTCATAGGTAATAAGTACAATTAAGATGTATTGCAATGGGAAAGTCTGCTGTTAGGGACCTCTCTAATGTACTGAAGAGCAGTGAGTGGTGTTGCTCTGGAGACTAAGCATCTGATACAGGCCATGGTCTTTGCAATCACTTGTTATGCATCAGAGAGTTGGACAATGACCAATGAGGATAGAAGGAGAATTGATGCCTTTGAGCTGTGGTGCTGGAGAAGAGTATTGAATGTACCATGGACTGCTAAGTAAATGAACAGATTCATCCTAGAGAGGGTTAAACTGGGCTGCTCCTTGGAGGCAAGGATTCTGAGGCTTTTTCTGATATACTTTAGACATGTTGTAAGGAGGAACCGGTCCTTGGAGAGGGACATCATTTTTGGGAGGGTGGAGGACCACACAGGAGAGGAAGACCCTCTATGAGGTGGATTGATTCAGTGACTGGGGTAATTGGGATGGGTGTATCAGAGAGAGTGTGATTGGCACAGGACAGAGCAGGGTTTAGGGCTGTTGTACATAGGGTCCCTATGAGTCCCAAGCGACTCGACGGCACATAACAACAAGAAGCAAACCTTTACTGTAGGTTGCTATTTATTTCATCCACCTTCTCTGTTTAACGTATTCCCATGTCTAAGCAAACTATCAGTATGTGTTGTTATTCACTCACCTCATCCACCCTTTCTATTTATGGATTCACCAACCCCCTTTCCTTTCTTCCCTTGCCTCCATTTAATCTGCGGTGTATGTCCTGTTCCAGATTGTTGATTGCAGTTCACATAATGTCTGTCTATTCATTTCAGATTAACCTTCCTTTCTCCTCTTCTAGTACAGGAATTATCAATCCAGTAACTATTCTGGCACTACATAAAGTTCCCAGTTTAGCTGGAGTTTTTAGAAAAAGTACTAAGAGCCACTAAGAAATTAAAATTGATTTTTTATTCCTTCCAAATTTTTTATTATGATCTGAGGAAAAGTTTACACAGCATATTGCTTTTTCATTTCATCAACCATACACAATTTGTTTATAAAATTATTTACAATTAATTCCAGATTAATTAATTCCACAATGCCTGTTCATCCGCTTATTGTATATTGCCTTTTCTTTAACTCATCTTAACAAGGGTTTATAATAAGTTTATTAATTTTACTCCTGTTCTTTCCTTCCAATTCTTGCTAACAATCCAAGAATGATTCTCTCAAAGATACATCTTTTATTGCAACATTTTTCTCAAAGCTACCTTTACATCCTTATTCCTTAAAGTGTAAATGATAGGATTTAGGGCAGGGGTAAGCACTGTATACAGAAGGGAAAGTAACTTCAATAGGTCTTCATAATGAGGCCTTGATGGAAAACCATAGACTATGCCCAGGGTCCCATAATATAGTGTGACAACTGTCAGGTGAGAAGAGCAGGTAGAAAAGGCTCGTTGTTTTCCCGTGGTAGAGGGGATCCTCATAATAGTGGTGATAATATGAATGTAAGAAGCCAAGGTGAGTAGGAAGGGGCCAAGGGCAAATAAAGAGGTGCATATAAAGGATGTCGTCTCAGCTATTTGTGTATCAGTGCAGGCAAGCTTGATGATGGGCTTCAAATCACAGAAGAAGTGATCAATTTCATTGGCAGCACAGAATGTTAACCGAAAAATGAGGACCATGAGAAGGACAGGTGCCAGGAATCCAGCCATCCAAGAGGCGCCAGCTAGTTGTAAGCAACCCCAGTAGTCCATGATGCTGGTGTAATGTAGTGGGTTACAGATGGCTATATAGCGATCATAAGACATTACAGCCAAGAAAAAACATTCTGTAGCCACCATGGCAGCAAAAAAGTAAAACTGACAAGCACAGGCTAAGATGGAAATGGGCTCATGAGCTGAGAGCAGTGTCCTTAGCATCATAGGCTCAATGGTAGTGGTGTAGCCAATTTCTAGGAAGGAGAAGTGACCAAGAAAGAAATACATGGGTGTGTGGAGGGAATTATCAGCTAATACCACGGTTAGAATTACAATATTGCCCATGAGAGTCAAAATATAGATGGTCAGAAATAGCCCAAAAAGAAAGAATTGAAGTCCATGGAGATCTCCAAAACCCAAGAGGATAAATTCTGAAATTTGAGTCATATTTTCTTCTTCAATCATAGTCATAATTTAGATCTAAAAATTAGAATGTGAAAAATTACTTGATTAAACTCTATTTTTAGAAAAAAAATAAAGTGTGTCGACACAATATATATTTTTAAAAACCCACAAAACACCACAGCTTTGTTCATTTAATTAACTTCTTTCTAGATTCTTAATCTTAATACATTTTACTGTGTCTCCAGTCTCATTTAGATAGTTAATCTATTACTTCAATTATAGCAGCAGATATAGGATGTGTAGTAAAAAAACCTCACTAATATGGAGTCAATTTCTGACTCAGAGAACTTATAGGGCAGAGTAGAACTTTGTCACAGGGTTCTCAAAGATATAATTATTTTT